CCCTTCCATCTTGTTAACTGCGAGCATTTCCAACTTTGTTTAAAGGAATCCGACTGGAAGTTCTTCCTCTAGTCTTCTCCTTTCCTTTTTTTTTTTTTGCTTCTTTCTGCGACTTGGCGTACATTAATTACGTACTATGCTGATGCAAAACCGTAGCTATATAGAAAATAAAGGATCCGGATCCTCTCCACTGTTAAGAAGTGGTGAAGAGACCACTAATGACCATAACAGTTTATCATTTGGTTGACATTTGTGATTTATTCAAAATTTAAGTGCTTATCATCCTTCCGTGGATTGCCTCATTCCTACTTTTCGTTCAAGACGAAATCCCAACCACCAATCGACTAATAGACTGCTATTATCAGAAGTCATAGTAGTCATTCCCCTACTTCTAAACAGCAGAGAGAATCGAAATCTGAGAAGAATAGGTTTTCGTGCATATAATCCATAAACTAAAACTACTGCAAACAATTTTTCTCTGTGATTTGCGACTTTTTTGGTTATTATATTCAATTTTTTGATTTTCAGCTTCTTCTTTTTTGTGCTGGTTATTATATTTGAAACAAGCCATCTCTATTTGTTCTTTCTTGCTTGGTTTCCATATGTGTAATCTTGAACTGCAAATAGGCGGTAGCAAGTATTTCAAAAAATTAAGTATTATCTTGAGTGGGCAACTTGATGCGTATGTTTGTTACTAATTAGTGACTGCAAATATTTGTATTTTCTTTATGAAGTGTAAGTAGTTGTTTTATCGGTTGTCAATTATAAGACATATAGCCAGCCATTTATTTCTCCAACAGAATATTGTTGGAGTTTGACTTATGCATTGCTTGCTACTTAAAAGACCTGAGTTTAAGAATTCTGAACTCTCAAAATGGAACCTTGGTGATATGATATGAGTCTGAATGTGATCCTATAATCAGATTGCACATGAAGAAGATCTCCTCAAGGTTTTATTAAGGTACACACTAGGAACTCCTTTTTTTTTGGAGAGGAAGTAAGGTCACATATGAACTTGACAAGGACACTCGGATTATTAAGGTACACACTAGGAACTCCTTTTTTTGGAGATAAATTGTGAAGCATAGCTCCCCAGTGCTTTATTAAAAAGAAATTAACAAAACAAACTACAAAATGGAGGGATACATATGAGAACTCACATAAAACCTGGTCCCTCTAACAAAAGAAGAAAAAACATCTCTAAAATATCACAGCCAGTAATAGGTAGAAGCAAGACATCCTTGACCACATCATCATTTAATGGCCCGTTTGATCTATTTGCAATTTTGCATTCTGTTTCTCCTCAAGGTAACTTATGACAAGTGATACTCTTCAAGTCTACTAACTCCTTTGTTACACCGAAAACAAGAATACTGGTGAATAGTTTCATGTCAGTAAGATCGCCAATATCCTTACTAGTCTTTTTAACTGTGTCGACAATGATTTTTCAAGACAGTAGTGTCCTAGCTGCATACCAATTAATCCATCCCCAAATCAGTAGGATATGCTTCCTAACTGTATCAACTAGTTCATCTCAATCCCGAGTTCTAACCCCCTTTGGCTTTACCGATAACAAGATAAATTATGTTCATTTCTGAACCAGTAGGAGACCTATGTCCTTACGAAAAGTCAACCACTTTTTCTCGATTTGGAGTAGTAGCTCAACTCACACTGAGATAACCAGCCGTAATGTCTTCTGCTTTAAGATGAATATGAATCATCGTTATCTCAAGATTAAAACTGATGAGGGAAGTGTGTCATTTCTCCACGTTCTACTCCCAAACTTGTTGTTCAGGTCAGTTTTTCCATTGATTTTATTTCCAATATTTGATTTCAGCTTTGGCTTCTGTTTAATGGTTCCCAATGTTTCTAACATTAGTAGGAGCCAGTCTTCCTGGATGTTCTTTTCATGCTAAAGCTATATGTCCCATGCCTATGATTGATCAGGTATATTCGTATATATGTATGTATGTATGTACGTATGTGTGTGTATAGATGTATGTATGTATGCATATGTATGTATGTATTTCCATTTGTGATGAAGAGGTTATCATACTGTTATGCTTCTAATAATTCAACTATTTCTTGGTGTAATCTCTGTGAGAGATGTTTTGCTTTTAGGGGAAAGATATTGATTCCATTAACTTGTGGAGCAAGGTGAGAAAGATGATAAGATAAACATTACAAGGATATCAAGGAGCGCCCGTGTCATCATGTAGCTGAAATTTGGCGCTTCTTTGAAGACACTATCCTTATGCTTTCAGATATTTAAAGTTCAATACCAATTGTATTGCATATTTGCATGTTTATGAATTACCTAGTTTCCCTTTCGTTTTCTTTCTTTTAAGATGGCAGGAGCAATGTACTGGCAAAACCAGTTTCTTGATGCAGAACTGCTTTATACCTGTAATAATCAATATTTTTTTATGCAAGGTCTTATATAGGAGGCCCACCTGATTTGGAATTGAGAAAGTAAATAAATAAATAAATAAACAGATCTATATAAGGCCCATGAGTATTTTGGAATCAAGAATGCCCAACTCCATTTTTCTCTTATCCTCTCACGGATCCTAAGAGTTGTTTGGTGATATAATGCTTAACCAACCCCTGATCTCCTCTTATCTTCACTAACCAACCCACCTAACACTTTCATCTCTTAAAACCCTCATCCACAGCCTCTGCCTTGCACCGCAGAGAAAAAGAACGGAGGAAAAAAAAACCAATTTTAGGAAGAAAGTAAGACTGTCAAAGTTGAAGGAGGAGTCAACCTAGGGTTTTTCTACCGGCGTTCGTATCGTGGCAAGTATTCTTTTTCTCAATATTATTACTTCATAATTATTATTGTTTTTGATTTTTTTCCCACTCGTTACATATATTCTTTTCATGATTTTAATATTTGTAAGTTATCAATCTGATTAATACATATGATATTAGTTGATGGCATTGGTAGTAAATAGTTTGATGGCATTAGCTGTAAATAGGTAAAGATTTATATGAGCAAGTCATTACATGGTGATATTGACAGGTTTTATGAGTGGCTGGTTAAAACTTTATTATATTGTATTTCGGGTTTTAGATATAGTGTCATGTTGTCTCGGTTCTGAAAATTTATTAATAACTTTATTATAAATTTTTTTTAGAAAGTCATTTGAATGGTTTAAAACTGTATTTTTTCCACAGTTTTTAAATAACTTGATCTCTACTTTTGTACATTTTAAATGTTTCTTTATTAATTTGTAATATCAGTTTTCGTGCTTCATAACCCTACGTAGATATTAATGGCTAGGGGTTGTCTATATTACTAAAGTTCATAAGAGTCATAGGTTCGAATTCATGTGATTTTTTTTCAGTTTATTTTTTTATTTATTTATCTTTGTGGTTGTTAACTTGGTAAACTTGTTAACTTAAATTCTAAAATTTTATATACCCTGTCTTAGCTGAATGAAGGTATGTTTCGATGTTTGATAATATGTTTGATCACCTAGTTGTCATCCAATAGGAGAGACTGTGCATGAAGATGACTCCTGTCAAAAATATGATTTATAAGCGTGTTTTCATAGCATGACTATGCCCTCTATATCGATATCCCAATATGGGGTATTTTCTTGGCTATTACTATTATAGTATCGACTAGACGATGCACCCATCTTGATTAGACATGTTTTAGGTCACGTTTATTTTCATAGTTTTACAGAAGTCGTTCCACGGTAACTCTGTGGTTAGTGCATAATATTTCATGCGCAGTCACTTAAGTTAAATCGATATACATGGGGCTTTTAAAGAGGAATTGGACGGGGAATATAACATGTATATAAACGGGCAAATATGCATTCCTGAAATCCTGAGTTATATATACATGGGCCAAAGGGTCAATACTTGACTTGAAGTCGTGTTCCCGGGACGGTTTACAGGGAACCGATTTATATATATATGAAAATATTCTTCTCTAATTCAAATAACGTCTAAAATAATAATAATATGTTTGTGTGGTTGGTGATGGACATTATTTTGATCTCGTGATTAGCATTTTCTTTCATCACTGTTAATTTAGAATTCATTTTTTTATGCCAGCTACATTTACACGCGCACAATTCCCTCATTTTACATGCTTGTTGGGAGTTTTCTGACTCCCATGGGGTTTGCGTTCCCCAGACTCGGAAATTGTTCTTTCTTCGCAGGACCGAGAGTATTTCGAGGTGCAGGCTCAGCGGCATTGATCACCGTTCAGCCTATCAGTTCTCCGGTTTAGTTGATTTAGGTAGTTATTTGGTTAAGGCTTTCTCTTAAGTAACATGTGACTTTTCTGGACTATGAATGTAAAATTTCTTTACTTTTCCCTATCATGAATAGTTGTGACTCGTATTTGGACTCCGTCTTTTGGATATTTCTTCATCTTTACATTTCTTTTATTATCTTGGTTACATGCTTTATTGTGTAGTTTGGTTTTATTTTGATATACAGGATGATCTAGAGGCGTGAATGTGGCCGAATGGTTGCATTGCCGGCCGAGTCACGTTCCATAACTATTACGTTTGGAACTGGGGCGTGACGATACCTACAAGTTTACAATGTAGAATTTGTACACAGTTGCGTGTATGTCCTTCAGTTATGTAGTCTCAAATCCCATGAGCTTCTGAAGCCACATCACATTGGAGTATGTCTATCTGTTTATAATTCAGCCTGTCAACTGTATAAAGGTGTAATGTTAAATTAAAAAAAATTACTTCCATTGTGATAAATATATGAAAATACTTTGTTGCTTGCATTATTCAATTTTGGGATAATCGTTACTGTGATCTATGTATATTTATCGTAAGCTGGTTGTGTGTTTCTATCATATATTTTTGTAGTTATTTGTGGTGCTTCTATCATGCTTGGGCCTGTTTGTCCTTAAGCACTTGAAATCAGATAAGAAAAATGAGGACAAAGGGGTTGCTGTGGACGTTTTCTTGCCTGCTGGTGAAGCTTATAAAGCAATACAAGACTCGATGTAAGTGATCTTTTCTTTTGTGGTTCTTCATGATGTCTGCATATTGTACAGTTCATATCGTGCTCCTCCACTGAAGGGGTTTGCACAAAAGCATTACATCCACAAGATCGATCGTGGGCGCCCATACCATCTTTACCACCAAAAAAAACTTGGTGGTTACGATTTTGCATGTTTATTTCCTTTGAGGTTCAGTCAGTTTGGCAATCTATTGCATATATCACATCACTGTAAAAGAAGAAGGAATAATAGCAGGTCGTGATGTTCCACTGATTTAACTCAGTAATGTGGAGTGATGTGTTACCCTCTGCTGTCTCCTATTTCTTCTGCTCGCTTAATTTTTTTTAATTGTTAGGGACTTTAATGGAGCCGACGTAATGGAGAGACTCGGGGATATGGTGTTTTTCCTGAGAATGATGAGAATCTGAAGTTGATCGCGTTGCAGGTGCTTCCTTGAACTCGTATATTCGAGTGTATGCAAGTACACGATATAACTCGCATGAAAAGAAGTATATCTTTCTAATCAAGTGATGTGGTGAGGTAACTCTTCCTATGATAAGTATTTTAGCTTCTGAGCTGCGCGAAAGTGCATTGCTTGCGTCTTTGTATGATTTGCTTCAAAATTAAGTGATTTGCTGCCATCAAAATGTGTTTGTACTGGACCTTGATTCTCATTATAGGCTTTACAAAAGCTATATACATCATGAAACCTTATTATTTTAATTGCAAAAGTGGAAGAGATGCTTATGTAGATTCCACAAGAAGCTAATGTATTGGAAAAGAGGAGAGCAAAACGAAAAGTGAGCTAAAAAGGAGAGGCATATAGGATATGCTGAGCATATGCAAAGTAGATGCCATCTCAAATTCCAGAATTGAACCCACGTCCTTTAATTTTATTCTTCTACTATAAAACCCTGAGCCTTTTCTTCTTAGAAATCCCTCTCTAAACCTCTGCTTATGGATTTCCTTTGATCGTCATCGAGCAATGGGTTCACCTGCCGTTGCTCTCTATATGCCGAAGGTGAATCCAGATATGCAATGTAGGGCAACTATGAACCTTTGGCAGTTATGCTACTTACTGGGAGTAAAGGGTATTGTGATTTTTTAGTTGTTGTTTGATGAATAAGGAAATGTTTGTGGTATTTGCTTTCTATGAAATATTATTGATATGTTATCCTGTAACCTGTTCAAGGGATATGTAAGATTTTTATGACTTAATTGGCTCATTAGTCGCTATATGAGTGGTAATATGAGCTGAGAATGTTGCAGTATTTCTATTCTCAGTCACTTTGTTCTTCGTGCAAGGCTCATTTTTTCTACAGGTTTTTCCACCAAAGGCCCATTTATGTTACACTATCCAAATTCACTAACTAAGCATTCAGCACTCAGCATGCTTTCCCTGAGCTATTTTGTTCTAACTGGAAACTATTTCAGTGAGAACAAAGTAGTTACAACTCTCATGCAAAACCAGTAATTATATATTGTTACATATAGAATTGTTATCTTTGTTAAGGTTTTTTCACAGTATATTTCTCCTTTGATAGGACTTTTCGTAATTCTCTTAGGGTGGGTATGTGCCCGTGAGGGCATTGCATGTCTATATAAATTGTAGTAATTGCATATAGACGTGTGAATAGGGTATAGCTTTGGAACTTATTATATTCGATGTATTATTCTGGCATATAGACCCTGTTGGATGAAATTTTGACTCTTTTAGCCTCAGATATACACATTAATTATACCCATGGATAATATTTGATAAAATTTCATCCATGGTAAGAAAGAGTCAAAAATTTTGCCGCTGGCCTATATGCCAAAAGCAAACCGCAGGTGTAATAAGGTCCAAACCCCAATCTACAGGGGGTCTATGTGTAATTAACCCTAAATTGTATTATCCTCTTCAATTGCCATTGTAGGAGTTTCCTGTATGAACCTTCATTTGCCTGTAAAAGCTGCGAGAATCTAATACGTCGATAAAGTTGTCCCTGATGGAGGCTCCTGTACGAGTCTTCATTTGCCTGATTGTCTACTAAAGCTATAGAGATACGATATCCACACTCGATCCACACCCCCAAAGAGTTTAGGATATGAAGGGAGGAGCTTGGACAGTCGATGAACCTCTGTCGATATTTTTCTCGAGTCTGATGTTGCTTGAAAATCTGCTTGCAGTTTTTGTGCTATTATTTTACCTTTCAATGGTTCTCCCTGTAAATAATAAATAAATACACACTTGTGTGATCTTTCTGCTTTATATCGATTAGCAATTTTCTTGTTTTCATAAAGCCACATCTGAGTTTAAACCTCAAGAGAGGGTTGGGTAGATTTCACTTGTGGCTAGCTCTTGCGCATTGAAAAGGTAGTGGCAGAAAACAAAAACAAGGGATATCCTGAGTCATGTGCAAAAATATCTGCTCTGCATTATAGAATTGGAATCACAACTACTGATTCAACTAGGGTCTTTTTTTAAAAAAAAAATTAAAGAGAACTTTATTTTCACTGCTAAAGAGCATGAATAAAATTTAAAGTTCTCAGGTTTGCTTTTTGTAGTTGTCATATTTCTGGATAACATGAACTGCTATTTTCTGTAAATGCAGTATACCTTACATATGATTTTATTCTTTTTTTTCCCCTTGCAAGAATGAATATTTAAATTACGTGTTTGTTTGGTTTGCTGCGAAAACAACTTATATCAATGTTGCATGCAAAATTTGTTGCAAGAAATCAACTTCAAACATTGTTCGGATATATGCGGTTTTATTGTGGAGAATTTTTTATTTCCCTAGCAAACTTATTGTTTGGCTGAAAAGGAATTGGTGTAAAAATTGTGTGATTTTATCATAAAGGAAAATGCCAGTATAATTGGTTTTCTGTATAGAATAAATGGTTTTTCTGTTTACAAAGATTTTTCAATGAGGTGCAATTATCTTTTTAATTTTAAAATTTTCAAATTTAGTGGTAGGTTTATTTCCACTCAACCAAACAATCTGGAAAGCTTTATTAACCAATATTTATTTTTTATTTTATCCAATTATTATAAAAATCGCACAGTATCTGGACTATAGGAGTAATCATGGTACTAATTTACGATTTGTGTTTATCTTTTCTATAGCTTAATTGTAAATAAACCCCTGTACTTTCTAATGGTTGCAAATAGACCTCATTTAGTTCTAGTTGTACACATGGGCCCCCTTAGTATTTGCCCATGTGCGGATACCCTCCCTCGGTGAATTTTTTTTTACTCATTTAAGAGTCCAAAAAATTAGCAATTGGTAGACACTAATACTATCCTCACTGACAGAACTACAGGGGGTTCTACCTCACAAAAAAAGACCCAAAGACTTCTACAATTGATTTTATTTTAATCCACCCTCTCCCCCTCAATCAAAACAAAATAAAGTTAAAGAGTTCGCCAAAATGACCCATACTGTCACTGCACATCATCGCTGTAAGGTATTGGAAGATAAATGTAATTTTATCTAAATGAAAAACAAAATTATGAAACTCAAAAGGATCACGAAAAAGTAATAGAATCGGTGAAGTATGCTCTGCGTATTGGATGCTTTCACCAAAAAATTTAACCGAGGGGACGCATAAGATAATCATCAGTCTCTCACTGACAACATAAGCGACATAAGATCAAGAAACTTAAATGTATCAGAAAGTAATAACAAGAAATCACTTCCTAAATTAAGTACCCATACAAAACCCAGCATTACTAATTTTTCCTGATGCAAAATCCTTACATAGCAATATGTCAATGTCTCAAAGCAACAGATAACAGACCGTAAACAACACGTACTGTCACTCCAAATAAAACTCCTTGATTTTCTACAACCGCAAACGAAGATAAGTTTTAATCTCAGGCAAGCATAAACCAAAAGACACCAAATATTGAGATCCAAAATTCTTTCGACCGCCAAAATTCCATGGAAATTTGTGATATCCTCTGTAAAAACTCCAACTAGTAAAAGAAGCCGAGCACTTTACCGCCAACATTCTTCCTCCTTGCTTCTTCATGGTCCATGATGCCTGCCGATGTGGTCAGCACAATGTACCCAAACTGCACATTTTTATAACCAGCAGAAAATATCAGTTCGCCAGTGCATTACTTCAGCTATTTAAAAGCTCATCATAAATATTTTGATTTCAAGGCGAACATTTTCGCTCAGAATAAAGGGAAGATTTCAGAAAACTACTGTAAACTTTGGGGGTTCATATGAAAGTGCCACAGACTTTACCTAACGGCGGTTAGGATAAGTTGTCATCTGTGAAGTTTGAACAATTTTGCTCGTGTACTTTAAATATTATAGCGTTAATTGCGGGTAGACCCCCTGAACTATTGCTTAATTTTGGACAGACCCCCGGTAGGTATATTCTTGCAGATAGAAATGCTGAGTGAATTTTTTACGACTCTTTTACCCTAAGGATATCTATTTGTCATAACATTTTTCTCTTACCATGAGGGTCAAGAGTCGAATAATTCATTCAGTGGTCTATCTGCAACAATAGAACTATAGAGGGTACCCTCTCCTACTTTCCTATTTTCAAGATAGTTCATACCTTTCATCTTAGCCGTCAATGCCATAGCAAACATTTCTTTTCTGCAGTTTTGAGAGTTTAGATTATATAGCTTCCTCTAAAAGTTATATGATAGCTTTAGCAAAGCATCCACCCACAAAGTTCTCGGTATTTTGTGAAATTTGCCCTAAGGTACTAAAAAGGAAAAGATCAGCTAACCTGACGAGACGGAAGCAACCTAGCGGTCCAGGGTTCAATATCCTTCACACCCACATCAAACCTTGGACTAATAACACCACATTTGTTCAATCGACCATTCAACTCAACGACTATCTTTCCAGCTCTGTGGTCATCAACATATTCAAACTCACCAATGTATCCTGAATACGACACCAAGGTAAAACATCAGATAGGAACACACCAAAGAACAACATGAAGAATGTTTAGTTTACCATGCTTCTGCATAACCAAGAGGAACTTGATAATCACTTTTGAGGAGGGTCTGATCATGACTTGGCGCTTCCCACGCTTCTCAGCATTATACATGCTCTTGAGAGCATCATTCAGGACGCTGACTCTCACCATCCTTGCTAAGCCTACAAGCAGAAAAGGAACATTTGCATACAAAATTAGGTCGAGGATACGTAACTGCTAGTGAAATATGAAAGCTATCACTTTCATATTCAAGTAGTCAAACAACGTAATCTGAGAGGCAAGCATACTTCAAAATTGATCTGTTTACATCATAAAAAGACAGACGTTTTCTACATGAGCAGTAAAGTCTGTAAAGACCAAAAAAGACTTGCTCTGCAACCTTTTTTAACATACTTTACATGTTTTGATCGACATATAATCAGCAAATTTTTCGTATTCATAAGAACAATATCCCCCAAAACATCATATCTATAATTAAATCTCAAAAACAATAAAGGTGATGAAGATATACCCAACTCTGTTGTCGTAAACTGTTCAATTGCAATTTGGCAGTTGTGAAATTTTGGAGGTACATATCTAAAAGTTTTTTTTTAATGGTCAGAGAGAAGGGTGTAAACTCTTTGCTTACATTCATGTGAAGAGAAAGAAAGATGCTTTTTAATATGACATAGCTAAAAAGAAGCAAGTTAATGTTACACATGAAAATGACTCCCAAACTCTTGTAGGAAATGTTTATTCTTTGAAATTTTAGAGTTATTTAGAGATTTAACTTAAAATCATACAATCGTACAACAAACGATGGTTAAAGTGTACAGTTATTCTTATTGAATTATCCTCACTACGCTGTACCCATCGTGTGTCTAGTCCTCTAATGTGACTAGCAATTTGAAACTTGAACTATGTTAATGATTATTACTATCATCAAGTCATATTCACTAGCAACATAATTTTCATCGATTATTTGAATTTAATGAAGAAAACGAAGCATTTATAATAAGATGCGACAGACTTTCCCCATTATTTAATGGACTCAACAGGAGTAAATACAAGACCACATTTAAATACTTGGAATATACATGAAAGTAAGCCTACAATATGAACACAATACCATTTTCTGAAAGAAAACAAAATAAGTAATATCTGACAGAAATATAACAACAGTGACTAAGCGACTTAAACCAAAATGGTCACGAAACTAACCCAATGCAAATTTCCCACATTACAAATACAATAGGGTAACTTTTCAAGGGAATCTGACACACAAAAACACATCATAATCTTTTTTATTATAGTATCAATTTAACTCTTCAGAATAATCACAATATTACAACATAATCTCCTTTTATCACAGAAACAGCTCAGATGTGAATTAAGCTGATTTTTTTAATGTGCCCTCATGCCAAATTATTATTATCCCCGTAAAAATCAAATCTTTAAACTATGGAAACGAAAAAGATTCAACTTTGCTCCATTTCTTACTCAATATCAAACAGATCAAATAAAATGTGAATTAAATTACAAAGGGCAATAACAAGCTTCGGACATCAACATCGACAAGACAAACTCTAAGTCTGGCTAACAAAATAGACAGAAAAAAATAGGGATTGGTAAGAGAAAAGTTCAAAGATCTGACCTTTGAGCAGTAGAAGATCGAGAAGCAAAAACCCTAGAACGCTAAACAAAGAAGAGAATGAGAGAGAGAGTTTTCTATTGTCATCGCGCCTCCATTTAAACCGTTAGATTTGATCTAACGGTGGCTATCGCTCTCAGCTGATCCGTTCAATTGCCCTAGTTTCTTTGAATTAGTGGGTTGGGCCTTAGCCAATATGGGCCGTAGCTGATGACAATTATTTTTCGACTATGGGAGCGAAAGTGATTTTCACTGAAATAGGATTATGATAGCCTCTTTTGATGCATGCTCTATTTTACCCTTCCGAATTTCAGTAGGCCTTTCTAAACTTTTATTTTTATTTTTATTTTTCTTTCTAAAATTTATTTGCTAAATATTACACATGTGATGATGATAAAAAGACAATAAGTTACGCCGCTAATCCTTTCTGAATTGTAAAACTCAACCTACGAAACACGTACTCAGCGGACCCTGCTGTCGCCACATTTTTATTCATGAATTTCTGTACTCTCCTAAGGAACTCAACTGCATCAGTTGCAAGGAAACCAAACATATCGAAAGCGAACGGGATGAAGTTGTGGTGGTTATCCTTGCAAGCTTGATCATGTTTGCCCACCTTTGACTCTGTTGCTCTATCCGCTGCATACCCAACCTTGAACTCTTCATTACCAAACCCCACCAACAGAGACACCCTTATGAGATCAACACAAGCGTGCTTCACGTCCGCCGGCCTTAGAATAGATCTAGCCTCTCCAGGAGGAGTGAGGAAGTTGACCGGCGCTTCCTTCTTTGATGGGATCCATGCTCTTGGAGGATATCATACAAGACATCTTTGACTAAGTCGTGCATGTACTTGAACCCCGGCTGCTTCTGACAGTGGATGGCATGCTCTCCAAAAGCATTCATTTGCGTTCTACGACAAACTGGACACACTGTCCCCTCCACGAACAAAGGAACCAACAACATGTACCTGAGGATGACCTGGTACTCCCCCATAGTCATACGTTGTCTCAATCCCTCAAAAGACGTGGCCAACAAGAAATCTTAGGCGTGCTTTGCGCGCAGGCACTCAACAATCGCAACTTGCCTCTCTGAAAGGCCAAACTCCATCGATAGATCTCTACAAACACCACCATAAAAGATGTCTGTCAAGTAATGCATTGGTTTTGGGAGGACAGACCCTTTAATGGTGATTTGAAGAAGGTCAACCTCAGGTAGCTTGGCTTGAAGAAAGGCCCAGACGGAAGTAATATGTTCACCTAAAGAAACCTCACCACAACCTCTCAAAATGTGGTCTTGGAGCTCGATGGAGTGAATCCGAGAAGCCACAAAAGAAAACTATGGGCTATATTTTGTTTATAACTTCCAACCAGCTAGCACTTGATGAAAATTAAACTTGTGAAAGAGGATCAGCATGATTTTTTGTATTTTACTAAAAAAAATTATTATAACATTAATTAATATGTGGATCTCTTGAAGGATCATGCTTGCTTAAATAAGGTGGGGTGCGAGATACTGGCTCCAGAATTGTTTATGACCATATTTTTTTGTTGCTTATTAGGCTTTTTGAAAGGCTTGGATTTTATTTTATTTTTTTAGCAATTGCCTTTCGTTATATTATCCGGTCTTTAATATATCTTGATTGGTGCACCTTGCCCTATTTCTACCCAAAATAGGGTCTCGTTGCCCCCATCTCTCTCTCTCTCTCTCTCTCTCTCTCTCTCTCTCTCTCTCTCTCTCTCTCTCTCTCTCTCTCTCTCTCAATAATGAAGCTACCGAGAATTAAACACAAAATCATGAGATTCATATTGAAACCTATCAGTCATCTAAATCACCCCTGTTGCTTAACGGTATCATTGAAACTTTCTTCTTTTCTTCTTCTTTTTTTTCCACCTTGGAAAAAAATTAAAACAATGACGAATGTGCTTCAAAAAATTTCTCAAGTTATTGGAACTGGCCGGTAACAGGTTTTAAAGAACATGTTTTATTTACTGCATTTTTTTATTTTTATTAAAATGCATAGGACTAAGGTAAATAAAGAAATGCCCAGATAAATTATGGGATTTGGATCATGCGTATAGTTCAGTCAATTGACTCCTGGATGCTCCATTGTAATGATCTGTAAGCACCAACAATTTATATCGTTTAAGTAAAACAAATTAGCCAAAATAGTTATAAACAATCTTACGCAAATATTAATTTTTCACATAGGATAAATAGAGCCAAGCCCAAGCCTTACTTGGCCCTTCTAGTTGGGCCCGTTAGTTTCAGGCCTAGAAAAAACTAGGGTCAACCTGAACCAAAACAAGAGAAGAGAGCAACCCTGTGTCTATAGAAATATAGAAGACAAGTGGTTCAACTCAAAGCCTAAACTATGATCTGTTTATGCTCTCCAGAGAGAGGAGCTAGATAAGATTGAAGGAGAGTGACGAAGTTATGTATTATTACCCCCCACATTTATATTTTATGGAGACTAGAAAATCTCTTATTATTAATTAAATTTAACATTTCACGTTTGTATATTGATAGAAACATGAAAAGTTGAATTGGATGCATCCAAAGTATTTTCTCTGATGATTAGCCAACAAGAGGGATTAATAAGATGTTACGAGGACCCTAGTGTAAAAATATTACCAACAAAGAACAAATTGTGATTGATAATCAACAAACTACATAATAATAAGAAATGAAGAATAAGAAACTACGTGTTGTAATATACTAAAGAAATGAAACAAGAGACAAGAGACAAGAGAAGAATAGAAATTGTAATCTTTTATTCACGTCATTCCATTTCCATACATCGTACAATTTATAGATACATGATGGAATACAAAAGGACATGAAATTAATAGTCCACATACAAAGTAATGTCCACATACATTTTGTCTTTTAGATATCAACAAAATATCTTTTAGATATCAACAAAATGTCTTTTAGATTTCAACACTCCCCCTTGGACATTACTTCGAAATATCAATGCCTCGTTAAAAACCTCGCTAGAAAAACCCAGTGGGATAAAAACTAGTTGAGGAAAAGAGTACACGACATTAGTAGATTCTTGTTGCATTAGTTGTCTCATTAAAAACCTTTCGCTAAGAAAAACCATATAGGACAAAAACTTAGCAAAGTAAAAAAGAGTACAATTATAGATCTTCGGGATCCAAACTTGTGTTACATTAGTTGCCTCATTAAAAACCTTTAGCTAAGAAAACCTTGTGGGACAAAACTTAGCAAAAGGAAAAAAAAAGTACAACTATAGTCCTTCAAGGTACAATCTTCGGGATTGCGTTGAAAATTCTCTATGCATATTGTGAACATATTTCTCATAAGTTGATGTAGGCAGAGATTTAGTGAACAAATCTGCAAGATTGTCACTTGAGCGAACTTTTTCGATGGTGATTTCGCCATTCTTTTGGAGCTCATGTGGATAAAAGAATTTTGACGCAATATGTTTTGTCATGGTTCCATTTACATATCCACTGCTCATTTGTGCAACACAAGCTACATTGTGCTCATAAAGGACATTGGGGGGAATATCATCTTTCACTAGACCACACGAGCCACAAATATGTCGTATCAACGATCTTAATCATACACATTCTCGTGAGGCCTCATATAAAGCGATAATCTCTGAGTGGTTATAAGAAGTAGTCACCATAGTCTGCTTAACAGACCTCTAAGAAACGACAGTACCACCACAGAGAGAAAAAAAACATAACCAGTCTAGGATCTGGCGTTATGGGGATCAGATATGTAGCCAGCGTTCTAATAGCCCACCAATGTCATATCTTGGTTTCTTTTATAGAATAGTCCAAGATCTTTTGTACCTTGAAGATAGCGAAGGAAATGTTTAACGACATTCCATTGCCTCCTTGTAGGATAAGCACTATACCTTGCTAGCAAGTTCACCGCAAATGCAATATCAGGCCTGGTGCAATTTGCGAGATAAAGAAGTGCTCCAATGGTGCTCAGATAGGGAACTTCTGGCCCTAACATTTCTTCATTATCTTCTTTGGGTTTAAATGGGTCTTTATCCACTTCGAGGGATCGGATGACCATTGGTGTGCTAAGTGGATGAGATTTATCCATATAAAATCTTTCCAAAACCATTTTCACATAGGTTGACTGGTGTAGAAAAATTCCTTCTGGGAAAATGCTCGATCTGCAGGTCGAGACAAAACTTGGTTTTCCCCAAGTCTTTTATTTCAAACTCCGTCTTTAGGCATGAGCTAGCTTCTGTAAGCTCCTTGTGCATTCTAATAACATTTATATCATCAATATAGACTGATATAATACAAAAGCTATTTATAAACACACAAGGGCAGACATCATTATTTGCATATCTCCTCTTCAGAAGGAACTCGCTCAGTCGGTTATACCACGTTCTACCCGACTGTTTCAAGTCGTATAACGACCTTTATAATTTAATGCTATACATGTTGCGACTCTTGTTTTCTCTTAATTCAGAAATTTTAAGTCCATCAGGGACTTTCATATAAAAATATTAGCGTCTAATGACTCATATTAAAATGTGGTCATGACGTACATATACTGCATATATAAATTCATAGTTTCTGCCATATTAACTTGCGGAACGTAATGCAATCACTAATAGGAGAATATTTTACATCTAAATCGATGTCGGGTCTCTGCGTGAACCCATTGAGCTATGAATCCCGCTTTATATCTCACCACCTTACAATTCTCATTTATTTTTCTTATGAAGACCCATTTATATCCTGCAGGGATATATGAACTACAGGTTCAAAATACTTTAGCGAGTTCAGCTCAGCCTCAATTGCCACTTTCCATCTCACCTAGTCCGAGTGCTTCAAGCACTCTACTACCGACTTAGGTTCTGGATCCAGATTATTTTCAGAGATAGTAAGAGCAACTGTAGAGGCAACTATGTTGACAACTTTTATATTTATATTATACATTTCTCCTTTTCCACAAATTCGTGGCCACTTTAATTCTTATTTTATGTTAACCAAATCCTTGCCATTTCCCTTAACAATTGGATTTGGCCGTTCCGCATCTCCAATATTATGATTATCAAGTGCACGTGCAATTTACTGGAGATTTCGTCTTCAGGACAAGCCTCTTCCAGAGGTTATGGGAGTGACTGTCTTTCTATATATATATAATTTAGTTTGCCTCGGACTTTTATCTTTTACACTAACATGTTTTATATGCTTCTGGCACAATATGCTTCTGGCATACCAAATCATCAATGATATATTCAACATGAATATGGGGCTTAGTCACTCTTTTCTTGGCAGATTATCATGTGAACTTCTGGTTCAGTTTGACTATTACGTGGATATAAATATTGAAGATCTTTTTCACCAATGGAATTTCTTGACATTATTTTGTATTTTGGGCACTAATCTCCCCCTAATGTCGAGAATTGATCTTCAATGAAAATGCAGTCAGCGTACCAAATTATAAATTGATCCCCTAACATGGGCCATAGGTACTAAATTATTGACGGAGTTTCATAAATAATGTATGTACCTTCACCGAGGTCCCATAAAGGTATGCTATGGTGGTGATATAGAAACATGGACTGCAAATAAAGAATACGCAGATGGGAAATGTTTCGCTTCTTCACCACGTATTAGTTAAAGGGGGAAAATTGTGATATGCAGTTGGTCGGATTTGGTTTGAATGCCCCCATTTAATTTAAGGAAATCCGACAAACCATATTTCGCCCAAGATGACCCAATCGCTCATGCCATAATTTAAAAAAATTTGGGTCCCTAAATCTCAAACTTATCGCAACATGTTGTATTTTAGGTCAGACAAATTCTAAAATATACACATAAGAATAAAAACCACATAGTTTCATAAGAGTTTAAAGCAAAAATCAAGATAAATTAAAATTGTCTGACAAATGCATATAGTCCAAATATAGAAAAACCAAATAGTTTACCTTGACCACCTCAATAAGATCTACTACCTCCCCCTCGTCCGAGCTTATGAATTTGAATTATGACATGTGCTTCAAGCACTATGACTGAACCAATTAAACTTGCATTATGGTTTCTCACAACAGCTGGTTGTGTTTTTAACAACTACTAATGCAAGGATTAGTTCATAATGCTTTTAGTTGTACTATTGTAAGAGTACATGGTTACTAGTTGAATTGTATTCAGTCGAGGGTTTAAAATCCAAAAATGGCTACAGGATAAGATCTCCTACTATGTTCATAGCCTCCCCCTTGTCCACGCGTATAAGTAATTTTCTGAATTGTAGCATGTGCTACAAACACAACTCGTAGCCAACTAGTCTGACATTGTGATTTCTAATCATCAATTAGTTGTGCTTCTCTGTGACTACTAATATAGATATCAATTCAGAATGCTAAGTGTAATTCTTGATCATGTACTGCTGCTAGAGTACAATATTATTTGCATGGAATGGGGAAAAGAACTTTTCGATCAAATTATTGGCTTCCATAGATCAAAGCGATCCTTCAGGGATTGCCCAGAAAAGTGAATATTTTTCACTGAGGTATTTAACTTTTCACGTCTTAGAAAATTTAAAGTGTTTGCCTTCTGGGCAAATATACTTAAAGAATCTAGAGATATAATCATGCAAAAATCACAGGTGTGTCCAGTAAAAAATGAACGTTCGATGCCAAGTAATAATTACTATCATATATCACAGTGCACTAATCATGGGGACGAAAGATTAGTGCATGAGAAATTAGAAATATTCACATAATCACCAAAATTATCAAGTTCCTTTTTCTAAAGAAAGATTAGTGCATGAGAAATTAGAAATATTCACATAATCACCAAAATTATCAAGTTCCTTTTTCTAAAGATCTTCATAAATGTTATCTTTCAAATGTTTGCTTTTGGCAAGATTCAAAACACCACCAAGACAATTTTGGATAGAAAACTAATATTGCATAATTTCAGTGGAGAAGGAGAATCAGTGCAATTAGCAATTAAAAAATGGACTACTTATGGACGCCAACATGAGCTTTAAAAACCTACAACTTAATTTCAAGTTTTCATGAGACTTAGATTTTACTTCAAGCAAGCAAATAGAATCTTCAAAGCAAAAGCATCAAATTGATATATTATGACAAATTTTCATGATTGATGCTCTGTCTATTCTACGTTTTTAGCCATGTATATGTAGCCTATGTTACAGAGTTCAAAGAAAATCATTTGGATCATCCCAATAAGAGGTTCAGCCATTAACAGAAATAAAGTTCCAACCAGGTGTTCGTGTGTAGGAGCAAATTGCATTACAAAATTAATTTACATGAACTTTTGTTTATTAGATGAGATAATACATTAGAAAAAGCTCTAACAAAGCCAACTAAAGATCAGATAATAGATAGTAGAATAAACTACTCATAAAGCCCTTTGGTCCTAAGAAAGAATAGAAATCAGTCTATCCTCAATTATTTTTAATGTTTAATTTTGTTGGGAAATATCAAATATAGAAGATTGTGTTCCATGAAGTAGAAGACTTCTGCTAGGGATTGGAAATATTGTTATTTATATTTCCAGTGGTGTAATACAAATGCGAACAAAACAACTAGAAAAGGATATTTTTAATCATAATGTTCTTGGATATGATGTATAAAATATAGTGAACATGATGAAGCCAACCTTCCATTTGTAGGGCTGCTAAAAAATTGTCTGTTTATGAATGGCTACTCCTAGATATACTATTAAAAAAAATGGTCACTTTTCTGATGGTACAATTTGAAGATAAGTACCTGCTTGAAGTTGGGTTCAGGATACATAATCAGTTTAGCCTTGCTAAACTCCGAACCCAATCACTGTTGTACTGATTTCTTATTGCATGTAAATTACTTGCCTTTTCAGTTTGTTAACTTGTCTTATTTATTGAATACAAAGGAGCATATTCCTTATGTGAATTACTCTATCTTTTCAGTTTGCAAACTCATTGATATTTGCTGAATATAATTGATCAGAATAAAAGCAAAATAAGAAAGTATTATGTGGAAATTGTTACCTCGTAAGATGTGTACACCGAAATATCTCTTACCACCAACGGACGATTACAAACCGGCTAGCTAGAGCTTTCGTGTTGATAACGTGTTGTAATATACTAAAGAAATGAAACAAGAGACAAAAGACAAGAGACAAGAGAAGAATAGAAATTGTAATCTTTTATTCACGTCATTCCATTTCCATACATCGTACAATTTATAGATACATGATGGAATACAAAAGGACATGAAATTAATAGTCCACATACAAAGTAATGTCCACATACATTTTATCTTTTAGATATCAACAAAATGTCTTTTAGATATCAACAAAATGTCTTTTAGATTTCAACACTACGATTATAGTTATAATTATTACAATTACTATTTACAAAAAATCAATACTTACCATCAAGGAATTAGATTATATTTTCTCCATCATAATCCAAAAAAATAACAATTTGTATAAGCAAGAGGCTCTATGAATTTAATATTTTCATTCAATTTGGAGTTTAGAATGGAGGAAATTTGAGTAGGCATTACAATTAGTAGCAATTTATTGATCATGTAGTGAGATGAAATGAGATAGATCAAGGAGGTGGGGTTATGAGACAGAAAAGAGGTAATTGATGGGTGGAGTTGCAAATTGAAGAGTCAGTTAGTGCCCTGAGAGAAAAATTGGAGATACGAGAAGATGGATTTAGGGTTTTACTGAGAGATGCGAGAAGAGGGATAAGGAGAGAAAACATATTTATGCTATCAATGTAAAGATTAAAAGGGAATGTTCTTCTTTTTTGGGTGTGAAGAAGCAGAACAGGATAAGGAGGGGGTTAGGGAGAGTCGGCAAAATTTACCTGAGAGAGAGAGAGAGAAAGAGAAAGAGAAATTGGAAAAGTAGAAGAGGGGAGAGAGAGAGAAACCGAAATAAATGGCCATTAAAAAGTTAATTAATTAAATTATTAAATTTGAGACTTGGCTAATTAGAATTAGGATAGGATAGCCATTAAGGAAATTGAAATGAGCAAACTAGGTATTCAGAAGTTTTGACAATGGTTCTCTTTTATAAGTAGTATAGATTTGCATAGATTTAGGTTTACAACCTCAAGTTATACTTCTTGATTTTAAAACGCATTGGAAATCAACTTGTAAAATGTTGAAAGCGTATAAAGAAGACAATTTCTATCTTTGTGGAATTGAAATGTCTGGTGTAATTTCAATTTCTGATAATTTCTAATTGTTTAATGAGCGTAGAAACAACTCTTACTTCATGATGATATATTGTTCATGTTAAGGAATCTGCATTTAAAAATTATTTCCAAGAAACTCCTTTCTTCTATTATCCTGAAATTGTTATATGCAACCGCGCGAAGAACCTGAAGTTCGTAGAGTTTTAATTGATAATTTAAAAAACAAATATGGATCACAAATAGATAAAACAATCGCTGAAATTGTTTTTTTCTAAATCGAAAAATACACCTTAAAAACCTAAATCACAAATCAAGAACTGGTGAACTTGGTGACGGCCTTGGTCCCCTCGGAGACGGCGTGCTTGGCTAGCTCCCCGGGCAGCACGAGCCTCACGCTGGTCTGGATCTCCCTCGAGGTGATGGTGGGCTTCTTGTTGTAGCGGGCCAGCCTGGAGGCCTCGTGGGCCAGCTTCTCGAAGATGTCGTTGATGAAGGAGTTCATGATGCCCATGGCCTTGCTCGAGACGCCGATGTCCGGGTGGACCTGCTTCAGGACCTTGAAGATGTAGATCTTGTACGTCTCCACGCTCTTCTTCGCCTTCTTCTTCTTCTTCATCGTCTTGCTGCTCTTGTCTCCTCCTCCTGCGCTTCCTTCGGACGGGATCCAAACTTTCTCCCGCTTCGGCTTCTGCGGTCGGTGGCTCTCTCCGCCTTGGGCTCCATCTTCGGCATCGTCCGGCTGCTCAGCCGGCGGGCTTCGCCTTTTTTCTCGCGGGCCTCTTTCTCGCCTTGGGCCGCCATTTGGGTGGTTTATTTTTTTTTTTTGTAAGGGTTTGCAGATCTGGCGCGATTTTTCTTCCAGCGGGTGCGAAGGACGCCTGCTGAGCGATGGCGCAGATGGGGGCGGTTTGGGAATTAAATAGGGGAGTCGGGGCAATCGGAGTATGATGCGGCCGAGCAGCGGCAAGATGCGGGATCGATGACGTGGAGGTTTGCTTTACGGCTTGTGGTACTCGCGTTACGGGCGAGTGGGTTAGAAATGGACGGTGAGCGATTGGCATGGCGGGGGTATGAGCGGTCGATCTTTATGGGCAAACGTTTGGGCCGGAAGTTGGTTCGCCGCTTGTTGCAAACTGATGGCGGCTTTAGGTGAGTCTTCAAGATTCGTGGCGTGCGGCAAAAAAATCTTTTCGCAGACGCGCGATGTCGGCCCAAACAGCCTCTACATCGAGGGATCTTGGAATTGGACGCTGACTTCACACGAGTGTTCTACATGCAATTTTGGTTCGATATATAACACAAATATACGCAGGAGCCGGATCGTGCGTGTTATAGGTTGACTGATTGGGTTACTTTTGAGTTTTTTTTTTTTTTTGTTATAGTTGTAATTGTGGTAGGGTTTTACGGCCTTTTAAGGTTCATGTTGGGAGTTGGTTCTAATCTATTAAATAACACCTTAAGTGTCATTTGAGCAACTGTGATTGAGGAATTGATCTGTTTACTACTAAAGTGATACCTGAGAGGACAACGCTAGTCCGCCGGGAGCTACGTGGTGCCCAGTGGTGTCACTAGACATCACTCGGACTGTCTACTTGAGAAGCATATTTATTTACTTGTGTTTGAGTTTACTATTTAGGGCACCGCTAAGAGCGATAAGACTTGTATTATTGTCGATGTAGATAGTGTAATAAGTCGTATAGGGACACCACTAGGACAAAATCCGCACTCAGGGAGGTTATAAATATGATCTAGTTAGAAACCTTTGTGAACTCATATAAATGAGATTGTTATGTACATTATGAGATGAAGTTTTATGGATTTTCAGCTAACCGTCGCTTACTTTTCCATAAATCATGCGCTTATCATTAAACCAAACTCTGATCATGCGCTAGTAAAATATATATACTCTCTTCCTAATGTTTGTTTAATTGGCTACTTAATTTAGTCAGCCGGTTCAGAATCTTACCAACTCAAAGCATGCTCGATCTTATTGTGACCACATCCATTGAAATTAGTTGACGTCAACGCTAATTAATTTTAAAAATCCCATACCATGAGCAAAATATGTCACTAAATATTTAAATGTTAATTAGGACACAGTCGCAAAATTCGAGTACAGAAAAACAACTTGATTTTAAAACAAACAGAACTTTGACAACCAACAATTGTTCGAAAGAGATCCAAATGTCACGCTTCTTAATATATCACGCATAAGGAAATTATGGAAGATGTCGTAATTGGTAATACATTAAATTTAGAAAAGAAAATAATGCTCAATTCAAACTCTGATCTGAATTAGGAATAATACCGGCCACCCGTCTCTCTCTGTCCCCTGCATCAAAGAGTAAATAACTATTGGTCATCCCTATCCCATATTATTTCTAAAATTTCTAACTTGCAATTACAGTAAGGGCGCGTTTGATTGCCTCTTTTAGAGAGGGAAATGAGTTGAAAACCTGCTAAAAGTGTCAGTTTTGACAGACTTTCTACTTCCCCCTTAGGCAAACAAACAGCCCCTAAGTAGCTATGACATCGATCTCGGGGTTAATCTATGTGATTATAGAAATATTATACCTTTTATTGATGTTCTTTGTTAAGATTCAATGATTTGTTTCTTGATCAGAGAGTTTCATGATGGACGACATCGAAACTAAACATAGATCTTTTCTCTTCAGATCAAACTTCTCTTCTGCAATATTATCCTGTATAAAGCAAACATTTAAGGTTAATGCCAGCTAATCATAACGAAAGGTTTGATAAAATTTGATGAAAATAGAAACATTACAAATTTAAGTAAATAATATTTTGATTTTGGATTTGCAAGGTAATATTAAATTTTAGTACCTGAGAGCGATAAGAAGCTTTAGCTCCAAAGTAACGAGAGCTTAACACCTATAACGATTAGTAATGGTCAGTAGAACCCTGATTTAGTACCGAGCAAATTTTAATTTCCTCAAAAAGAGAATGATTTTAAAAAATTTAATTGTATTTACATGTTGGTTTGATCTTATTAAATATGTATCATAATTGCATATATGCACGTATGTAACTATGAGTGTTGCTACATGGACCCGAAAATGAGACAGATAGAGGGGACATGTGAGGCGTCCCCCTCTGATTGCATAATGAGCTGACAATTTTTCTTTATAGTTCAAACCTCGGTTTTTTATTTTCATGATAACAACATTTGTCTGTTATATTATGCATACACCGACAGAAGAAGAGAAATCAAAGCACAAGGAAACAAAGTTAGATTCAAAACTTTCATTGCATTATTAGGCGGACATCACCGTAGTCAACCCTCACGATTTTTAATTATGCATTATAAAAAATAATAATAATTAAGCGCGCTAATCATACCCGAATCTGTTCGTGAAGAACTTTGATTTGCGCACAAGCCTCTTGTAGCACCGATGCCGTATCAGTCTGCAAAACATTTCGTCAACCATTAATTAGTTTATAATTTGACGTCGGTAAACTTTATACCTTACATCTCTATCTCAAAAGTAATAAACAAGGTCTTTATGTTTGTCTCCTAATTATCCTGATAATATATTATTAATTAAGTGTTAGTCGTACATGATCAATAATTAATTAATTACCTTGCCAAATGGCGACACTAGCTGCTGTAGAGCCGTGATTTTATCCCCTAGCTTCTGGCTCTTCTTCAAAGTAGATGCCTAGGATCAATTAAAATAATAACAATTATGGGACTATTAATCAAAATATATGCATGGAATAATATTTCAACAATCACAAAAACACTTAATCATATAATCGTACTTTCATTGTAGGAGCCATGCGCAAATCTTGTTGTTTGTTGTCGTGTTCAAACTTAAATCTCTTGCGTTCTCTTTGATGATCGATGGTTGAGCGTTTTCTTTGCTTCTTTGTCTCGAAGATTGCCTAAAAGAAAATTTTAACCTAATTAGGAAATTAAGTATAGTAGGGAAAACATGCAATATTGAATTTTTTTTTTTTTTTTTTGAACGCACTTGATCTTGATGGCAAGCGAATCCAGATGCTCTCAATTCCGCAGGGTTCACACTAAAAAATGTTCGTCCTGTTCATTCGAAACCATGCATGTACAGAAAAATTAAAAAAAAAATTAGAAAATGTTAATTATGTTGAAAGTACATGTTAATTATCTTAACCTGGAGAACTCGATTCAAAATGGAAACTCTTGCAATCTTGGGATGCGTCATTGAGGATGTTTTTTGCATGGAAGCTATTTCTGAAAATAAATAGACAAATTTGCAAAAAAAATTAAAAATCAATTACAAATTTAGCTTTACACGATAAGAGAAATTAAGTAACGTCCGTCGACTCACAGCCTCTCCGGCTCTGAAGCGACGCTAGAACTCCTCGTTCGAGATTCAGTGCTGTTCCCTGACACGGTAAACAGTTTTACAGAAAGCACCTTAGACCTTTCTTTATTTGCGAAATTAACGTAGATTTGCATAATTAATTCTACAGGAAATGCGTGCAAACTAAAATAACAACATTGCAAATTCTGTTCAGCATACCTATCATATTATCAAGAAGAGAGGGGGAGCGTAGGGGGGAAAGTAACCCATCCATTGTTCTTGAGCACCGATACTGATCCGATGGAGCAGAAACCGACCAGCAACGATCAAGCTCTGGCTCGAAGAATCGAATCATGCTCAAGCAATATATTTACAGCACTGTAAATATATAATTACAATGCTCGATCTCATAAAGTGCACAGCTTCGAACGGATTTGAAGGAAGATATTTGATAAGAGAACTTACCTCTCGGTGAAATATTTGAGAAGCTAGGCCAGGTTCCAAGGGATGATCACAATGGAGCTCGATCCTTTTATAGAGGAAGAACTTTGAGTTTGAGGATCACAAGGTGATTAAATGTTGAGATGAATTGAAATGCATATAAATAGTATACAGGTTTTATATATAAGAAAATGATGACGCAGTGATTAGGTGAGAAGATTGACTACAGAGCAAAGAAAGGGATGGCTATGTGTAGTTAAGAGAGACTAATTAGCTCGCTTTAATTGGAAATACTTCGGTTTCATCTCTCTTTCAATATGCTTTGACTAGAGGTCCTCGTCATTTAATGAAGATAAGGAAAACAAACTATAGGGCCCCTTTAAAAAAAAAAAAAAAAATTCTGAACATCTATTCGATTTGTTGTGAGATTTGTTTACGCTAGGGTCCTCGTAACATCCTATTAATTACCTCTTGTTGGCTAATCATCAGAGAAAATAGTTTGGATGCATCTAATTCAACTATTGTCTCCTCTCATATCGATTTGCTTAGTTTGGGCTTTCAATTGAACCACTTGTCTTTTATAGTTTTGTAGACAATTGGTTGCTCTCTTCTCTTGTTTTCGTTCAGGTTGACCTTAGTTTTTTCTTGCAGTGGGCCCAACTAGAAGGGCGGAGTAAGGCCTGGGCTTGGCTCTATTTATCCTATCTGAAAAATTAATATTTGCATAAGATTGTTTGTAATTATTTTGGCTAATTTGTTTTACTTAAACGATATAAATTGTTGGTGCTTACAGATCATTACAACGGAGCATCCAGGAGTCAGTTGACTGAACTATACGCATGATCCAAATCCCATCATTTATCTGGGCATTCCTTTATTTACCTTAGTCCTATGCATTTGAGTAAAAATCAAAAAATGCAATAAAGAGAACACGTCCTTTTAAAACCTGTTACCCGCCAGTTCTAATAGACTTGAGATTTTTTTGAAGCACATACGTCATTGTTTTACTTTTTTTTTCCAAGGTAAAAAATAAAAAGAAGAAGAAAAAGAAGAAAGTTTCAATGGCAACGTTAAGCATGGGGGTGATTTAGATGATTGGAACGTTCTAGTATGAATCTCACTGTTTTTTTAATTCCCGGTAGCTTCATTATTAAGAGAGAGAGAGAGAGATGAGGGCAACGAGACCCTATTATGGGTAGAAATGGGGCAAGGTGCACCGATCAAGATATATTAAAGACCGGATAATATAAAGAAAGACATTTTCTAAAAAAATAAAATCTAAACCTTTCAAAAAACCTTATAACAAAAAGAGTTCTATGTGGGTGAGGAAAAAAATTATGTTCACTCACCACAAAAGCATAGAACAACCAATTGGCAATCCAATAAATAAAGTCATGAAATTTTATATTTTCCTATGCTAGTAAGCAACAAAAAAGTAATACTAATAGAATATAAAGATCAAGACAAACAAGCTAACTTAGGAAAGCGAGGTCATTAAACTACTATACAATTCTTGAGCCAATATCTCGCACCCCACCTCATTTTCCTGAAACCTTTTTTTTAGAGAATGTATATGTATATTTAGGATAATACGTGTACACACATTTTCTCATTCATTTAAGCAAGCATGATCCTTCAAGAGATCCACATATTAATTAATGTTATAATAATAAAATTATTGTGTATAACCTCTAAAATGACACTGTAATGAATTTAATTAATTTTTTTAGTAAAATACTAAATTTTATGCTGATCCTCTTTCACAAGTTTAATTTTCATCAAGTGCTAGCTGGTTGGAAGTTACAAACAAAATAGCTCATATGTTCTTCCCAAAAAGAAAAGGAAAAAAGGGGAAAAAAAAGGAAAAAAGGTTTAGAAAGGCCAACTGAAAATTCAAAGGGTAAAATAGGGCGTGCCAAAATGGACCCTCATAAATTCTTTTTCAGTGAAAAATCACTTTAGGTTCCATATTCGCAATCACTGCCTACGGCCCATATTGTCTAAGGCCCAGCCCACTAAATCAAAGAAACTAGGGGAATTGAACGGATCAACTGAGAGCGATAGCCACCGTTAGATCAAATCTAACGGTTTAAATGGAGGCGCGATAGCAATAGAAAACTCCCTCTCTCTCATTCTCTTCTTTGTTTAAGGGCCTGTTTGGTTCACCAGTTTATAGAATAGGATTAGTAATTGGAGTCTGACAGTGGCAATTTGGTAATTTTTAGATTCTTTGTGAATCCTATTCTGGAGTTTGGTTCAGCAAAAATTTTGGGATTACAATTTCCCAAAAGTAGCTACAGTTGGGGTTTTTTATAGAAACCCAAATCGGAAGCAAGGCGTCGGATTTGGGCGAGATTTCTGACACCAAGCTTCAGGGCCGATTCCTAATCCTATTTCAGGAATTCGATCCCAAGATCTGGAATCGCTGTTCGCTTCCCCTCATCGCCCTCCTCTTCGCGCCTCCTCTCTCGCGCTTCGTCTGCTTCTACCTTGGGTCGTGGCTGTTACTCGAAACCCTAGCTTTGTTTTTGAACGAGCTTGCTGGTGGGTTTCTTGCCTTCGATAACTGGTGATCCCTTCTCGATCTTGTTCTGCTTCGACTGTGATTGTTGGCTACGGTGTTTTGATTGATCTCGGTGGGTTTTTTGCTTGGACGTCGGCATTTTGGAACTTCATCAGCTAGGTAAAAATTTTTGCCCTCTTATTTTGACTTATTTCTCCAGTGATTTGAGGAATTACTTGTAATTATGAAACAACCACGAAATAGAATAGGATAGCAATTTCAATGTTTTAAGAGATTAATTTCATAATCTTACAGTAAAACAATTCATGCGGGTGTTTGTGTACTGGATTTTGTTGTTAATGTGCAAGAATTATGTTGTTAGATAGATAAACGACATGAAAATAGAATAGAATTTATTTTTCTATTTTCGCTTTCTTGCACAAATGTTTCATAAATCTAAATAAGGTCCTCAAATAATTAGTTAAAATTGTGGGTTACTGAAATTGATGATTTTTTTCTTTTATTTCCTTTTTTTTTTGTGTGTGTAAATTATTAGTAATCTAACCATATAGTTTGTTTGTTTTGGGTCTATCTTGCTTGTTGATAATTGTGTGAGAGGGAATGCAACATTAGTTAAAATAATTTTTATTTCAATTAGCTTTCTTGCTTTAAAAGAAATAAATATTTGTATCAATTATCTACTTAATTTTGACAAGACATAAGTAGTCATCTTAAGCTGTAACTGTATGATAATTTTAAAACGGTTGTAGATGAATATGGAAGATGAGGAAGAATTGAAGAGGATGTGTGCTAATACAGCTGTCTGCGCCGTATCTTATATTAGAATGAGACCGAGGGTCTTTTTTAAACTTGTTGAAGTAATGAAAGCAAACGGTTTATTAAAAGATACAAGACACGTTCAAGTTGAAGAACAGCTTGCTATGTTCCTGAGTATTATTGGGCACAAAACTAAAAATAGAATAATAAGAACTGAGTTCATAAGATCAGGGGAAACAGTTAGCAGGTATTTCAATAAAGTCTTGCAAGCAATGAATGGATTACGTGATCGGTACATGAAGCAAGCCCCAAAAGAAGTTCCCGAGGAGATTGCAAACAACTCAAATTATTTTCCTTACTTTAAGGTAAATTAAATACATACAACTTAACAATTTTCCTTACTTTAAGGTCAATGAGAAATCAACACGTTATACATTGGACTGAGCAGTTGGCTGCAGCGTTGAAGGAACATAGGTCTGAATATTCCGAGGAGTTCCTCGATAGGGTTTTAGACCATTTATATGACAATGAACGTGAAGCTAGGAGGTTTTTCATAAAATCCAAGGAAGGTCAACAGAGGTACATCACAAAATTAGTTAGCGACCAAGGTTGGCCGGATAGCTAGTTTGTTGGGTTTCGATTATATTTTGATGGATATTGTTGTGTTAATTGCAAACTATTAATGTTGCAATATGTATTTTCATTATGAAGAACAGCTATGTCGTTGTGGGATTGATGAATTGCTATATTTGCAATCTTTGTTGCAGGTATATTTTGATTTGAGCTTTGTGCAGCTCATATTGCTGCTGGTTGGTTTGTTGCCTGTTTTAAGCAGCTCATGCTGCTGCTGCTGCTGGTTGGTTTGTGCCTGTTTTAAGCAGCTCATGCTGCTGCTGGTGCTGGTTGGTTTGCGCAGCTCATGCTGCTGCTGCTGGTGGTTGGTTTGTTGCTGGTTTGTTTCCCTTTGCAGCTCATGCAGCTGCTGCTGGTTGCTGGTTGCCTGTTTTGAGCTTTTTCTGCAGCATGAGCTGGTTGGTTTTGGTTGGTTTGTTGCTGGTTTATTGCCTTTTGCAGCTCATGTTGCTGCTGCTGGTTGCTATGTGCCTGTTTTGAGCTGCTGCTGCTGGTTGGTTTGTTGCTGGTTTGTTGCCTTTTGCAGCTCATGCTGCTGCTGCTGGTTGGTTTGTGCCTGTTTTTTTGCTTTGTGCAGCTTATGCTGCTGCTGCTGGTTGGTTTGTGCCTGTTTTTTTGCTTTGTGCAGCTTATGCTGCTGCTGCTGGTTGGTTTGTGCCTGTTTTTTTGCTTTGTGCAGCTTATGCTGCTGCTGCTGGTTGGTTTGTGCCTGTTTTTTTCTTTGTGCAGCTCATGCTGCTGCTGCTGGTTGGTTTGTGCCTGTTTTTTTGCTTTGTGCAGCTCATGCTGCTGCTGCTGGTTGGTTTGTGCCTGTTTTTTGCTTTGTGCAGCTCATGCTGCTGCTGCTGGTTGGTTTGTGCCTGAAGTGGTATTTGTGCAGCTCATGCTGCTGCTGCTGGTTGGTTTGTTGCTGGTTTGTTGCTTTGTGCAGCTCATGCGCTGCTGGTTGCTGGTTTGTGCCTATTCCTTGCTTTGTGCAGCTCATGCTGCTGCTGGTTGCTGGTTTGTGCCTGTTCTGAGCTTTGTGCATGTTTGCTGCTGCTGCTGGTTGGTTTGTGCTTGTTTTGAGCATTTTGTTTTTCAGGCTGATGCTGGGGTTGTGGGTTACTTGCTGGTTGGTGCTGTTTTGTTTGAGCTTTTGTTGCTTGTTTTGGTTTTAATTGCCTGTGGGTTACTTGCTGTTATGGTTTGCCTTGCCTGTGGTTTTCCTTGCACTTGATATGTGGCAATGATGATGATCAACGTTTTCTGAGAATGCAATCTAACTTACATCGTTTATTATATCCAGATGAGGCAAAAGGGGATGAGATTGCAGCCTACATTGAATTGACAATGTCTAGGCGAGGCAATTCATCCTTATAATGCAATCTGTAATAAACATGTTTAAGTTATAGGTGGGGCAATCAATGATGACAAGTTGATCTATTACTGAGCCATACAATATCAATAAGAATTTGTACCCAGTTCAAACAACAGTTTTCATTACATCCTCAGTAGTTCTTGCAAGTACAGTTACATGACATGAAGTTTGTAATAATTAAAATAACACAAAAAAATTGCTAAGAAAATTGCAGAAATTTTCCAAATTAGTAGTTGATTTTCGACAAGTCTCAATTCTTTCTTCAGCTTCTTTGATTGCAAAATATATTTTTCTCCGTACCTATTTTCTTGGACATATTGGCTTCCTTGGTTGCTTGATGACTCTCCTCTTTCTTCAGCCCATTCGAAAAAATTACATTCTTTATTTGGGAATTTTGCACACCCCCAATAACACCTACCCTTATTTTTGCCATTCTTGCACACTTTCATCGGTGTTCTGAGATGGCAGTCACAATAAACTTCATAATCCTGCCAGCACTCTTCTGATATCATTTTCATGTCGGGTTGGCAAATTGAAGACAATGGGAATTTTATAAATGCTAAAAATGAGAGTGCTTGGATTAGTTGTGAGCCCTCAAGGTGAATTTATAGCCACCATGGCCCTCTTCTAGCCGTTGCTACAGTGTTCTGTCATATTTTTTCAAATCTGGATTTTTAAGCTGAAATTGATCCGTTGCTACAGTGATTCCAGCAAAAAAAGGGTATTTATGACCTCTTCTAGCCGTTGCTACAGGGATTTTTGAATTGATACAAAGACTAACTGTTGCTACAGTGTCTACTCCCAAAAAAGAGATTTTTTTTGAAGCAAACATGGTATTAGGAATTGGACCATTTCTATAAAAGTTGGATTCCTAATCCACAAGGTGAAACAAACATAGAATGCCAAAAAAATAGGATTCCATAAAACTATAACTTATCTATAAAAATTTTATGGATTAGGTTGGAATCCATAAATAAAATAGGATTCCTAATCCTATTCCTATCCTCTATTGAACCAAACAGGCCCTTAGCGTGCAAGGGTTTTTGCTTCTCGATCTTCCACCGCTCAAAGGTCAGATCTCTAAACTTTTCTCTTACCAATCCCTAGATTTTTCTGTCGATTTTGTTAGCCAGACTTAGAGTTTATCTTGTCGATGTTGATGTCTGAAGCTTGTTATTGCCCTTTGTAATTTAGTTTACATTTTATTTGAGTAAGAAACGGAACAAAGTTGAATCTTTTTCGTTTCCATAGTTTAAAGATTTGATTTTTGCGGGGATAATAATAATTTGGGATGAGAGCACAGTAATCAATCAGCTTAGTTCACATGTGAGCTGTTACTGTAATAAAGAAGAGTATATTGTGATATTGTGATTAATTCTAAAGAGTTAATTGATATTATAATAAAAAAGATTATAATGTGCTTTTGTGTTTCAGATGCCCTTGGAAAGTTACCCCCTATTGTATTTGTAACCAAATTGTGTGAAATTTGCATCGACTTAGTTTCGCGACCATTTTGATTTAAGTCGCTCAGTCACTCTTGTTATCTTTGGTTACATATTACTTCTTTCATTTACTTTCAGAAAATGATTAGGATTACTTTCATGTATTTTCCAAGTATATAGAGAAGTGTAGTCTTGTATTTACTCCTGTTGAGTCCATTAAATGATGAGGGGAAATCTATCGCATCTTATTATAAATGCTTTGTTTTCTTCACTAAATTCAAATAATCGATGAAATTATGTTGCTAGTGAATATGACTAGATGATAGTAATAATCATTAACATAGTTCAAGTTTCAAATTGCTAGTCACATTAGAAGGATCAACTAGACAAGTTGGGTACAACTTATGAGGATAATCCAATAAGAAGGACAAATTTTCAAAACCACCCTATTTGAACATTTAATCATAAAAAACGACTTGTTTTGAACTTATTTGCAAAAACCGATCTGGTTTCAGCATTGGCGCTGAAACCAGGTCGGTTTTTGTGAAAAAGCTTCCGAAACTTCACGGGAGTTGAACTCCCGTGAAGTTTAGTAAAGCTGCTAAACTTCACGGGAGTTCATCGTTCAAATTTTTTTTGAACTATGAAACTTCACGGGAGTTGAACTCCTGTGAAGTTTAGCAAATTTACTAAACTTCACGGGAGTTCAACTCCCGTGAAGTTTCAGAATTTTTTTTTCAAAAACCGATCTGGTTTCAGCGTTAGGGCTGAAACCAGGTCGGTTTTTTAAAATAAGCTCAAAACAAGATTTTTTTTGGGATTAAATGTGGAAATAGGTTGGTTTTGAAAATTCGTCCATAAGAAGAACTATACACTTGACCATCGTTTGTTGTACAATTGTATGATTTTAAGTACAATCTCCAAATAACTCTAAAATATCTCAGCCTGTACAATAAGACCTAACGATAACACGGATGAGCAATCATTTGTACTAAACTACGAGATCTCTCTCCTCTTGATGGCAAGGAGCCCAAGGCCCAGTTAGGGCCTTGTCGTGGCTAGATACAACGGCTAGCTTTTGTTAACTCGTGCCTTATTCCTATTCTACCGCACCGCCATTTCCTCTTTGAGATAATTTGGGAATTTAGGGTTTGAAACATCAGCGAGTGATGTGGATAAATCCGCTGATTAAAAGGTTGGCGCCTTTTCCCCCAACAGCTTCGCAAATCCTTCAGAAGAGGAATTTCAACTCAGAAATATTCATCAGCAGTAAGAAAAACTTCTCTGTTAATTCCTCTCCATTTAATGGAATTAGCAAATTTTCAATTTATTTAAATTTGCAGGACTATCATTTTACACTACTGAACAGGATCTTAAGAGGTTATTTTCAAGATTTGGCAGTATTAAGCAAGGTGGTTTTTGACGATTCAACCCAATTTGGAAAATTTGTGGTGTGGTTTTTAATTTGGTTTGTTTGCCTTTGCGCAGTTAGGTTAATTAGGGATGGGAAGACCCAGAGGGTTAAAGGATTTGCTTTCATTGATTACTCGTCGGAAGACGAAGCTCGGAAAGCAGTGAAAGTTATGGATGGAAGGGTATGAGACTTATCTGTTCACTGAATTTTGGTGAATTTTGTATGTACTGAAAAGCTAGGACAAATTATTATTCAAACTATATGTTGTTTCACACTTGTTGATTTTATTTGTAAATTTTGGGGCGTAGGCGGAATGAGAACCAAATTTTGGAATCTGGATTTCCAATGGAAAACATTGTGGACCTGTAAATTTGATTGTTAGTTCGTAATGTGCGATGTTCAGAAATAAAAAGTGGATTAGTATGGCATTTAGACGAGCTTGGCACAAGCTTAAAGAGAGTTTACAAGGGGAGACTGAATCTGATTTTTAATCTGCATAGGGATAGGGGCATTTATAGGAGGCATTTAGTATTTAAGAAAGAAAAAAGAAGGAAACTGGAGAAACTTGATTAGTGGAAGTTTTTTGTTAGATGCGCGCTATTGTTGGACCCTTTCTTAATTTTTTTGGTCCTTTACCTTCATTTGGCTTATGGTTTTTGAACAAGCCCATGGTCTTTTGTATTTGCATTACCTTGGGATTTGGCACTAGTTTATATAGGTCCATAACAAGTTGGAAACAGATGAATATTGTTTTCAGTCTTTTCTGATGAGGATCATCTATACAAATAGTTCCAAAAATCAGATTTAACTGGACTTGCACCAGATTTTTGAGCATAAAATTAGTTTCTTAGTCTTTTATATAGCAACTGATACGTCTTTGATGTGGGGTGAAGTTTTGGCTACATCAAAATTTGTATTCACTAGATAAGTATCTTTCAACATAGAGTTAATCTCTTTTATTGGCATCTCCAATTTGTTAGCTGTGGTTTTCTTTAATGCCCCCTACCGAGAAGAATGTCATTTGTTACTTGCTTGATATTTAGATAGACTGGTTCTTTTAGATGAAGAAGACTAATCATAGATCAACTATCTTCATAAAAATTGCTTAACCTTTCTGTTAGCCCCATTAGACATCTATTTTGGATGATGAAGAAGAAGATGATGGTACTTTAGTACTCTCTCTGAAGATCCTTTTCGTTGTGTCAACATGTATAAATAATAGATATCAAGATACCTAATCATTTTTCTTCAAGTTTGCTGCCAGCTGATATGCAAGCTCTTTTTCGTAACTTCACATTCCTAGATCCAACAGTTTCCAGCTTCATGTATTGGTATGTGATTCCCACATTTTATGCTTATTATCATCGTAGTGACCTTGAATGATGTTGTGGTTGTCATTATCTGCATTTATGTAATATAAGAATATCGTCATATCAATATTGATTTGAAAGTTAATGCATTCTTTACGCAATCTTTTTTGGTTCTATTTTTCGTTGTTAAATATTCATGTTGAAGTATGCTCACCTGTTACATTCTTTTTGCTTGTTTGCCAGATTCTTGATGGAAGATTGATATTTGTGGAGATTGCAGATCCTAGATCTGCAGAGAATATCCCGTAAAGTTACTTCTGTTGGTGCATTATTCTTTCCTTTCAGTACAAATGATTGCTCATCCGTTAGGAAATGATTGCTCATCCGTTAGGTCTTATTGTAATTGGAGTGGATTGTTTGATACTAAATGGGAGATAACGAACCTGACAGTCACATTGGACAGGTTGAGATATTATTGTAATTTTATTATTTTTGTACAATATTTGGCTGTTTAATGCAGCCAAAGTCCTATAATGTCAACTTACTACCGGTATATTATTTGCCTGCATAGAACTTACATGAGAATCTGGTGTTCTGCTTCATGGGATTTCTTCTATGGTTCAAATTTTTGCTCACAACAATGACTTGGGAGACATCTGTGTATTCAGATAGTATTGCGAGATCCTTTGGCATGCAGTTAGAAGTTCAAGCGGCCTTAATTTTGTTCAAATTTATGGATTTTACTGCCATAACATACTCTCGTTGCCCCTTTCACGTAACAAAAAAGAGCTCTTTTGTATTTCCCACCAAGTTACTATTCAGTTTGTGGCAACCACAACAATTGCTACTGTAGATATTGAGTCTGTTGCAGCCGGTTATTTGATCGCAGGCGAGAGGTGTGGTTGTTAGGGCGCGTTTGGTTCGGTTTTTTTGAAGGGGAAAGGAGGGGAAGCTGTCAAAGTGTCAGAACTTTGGCAGCTTGGCGATTTTGGGAGAAAATTGCCAAAGTTCTGACACTTTGGCAGCTTTCCCCCGTTTTCCACTTCAAAAAAACCAAACCAAACAGCCCCTTATTGGGTCTCTGCTTACCGTCGACAGTTTACGTAAATTTGAATGTAAGTTGCAGCAACACAAATGGCAAGAGTAAGATTCCGTACATGAAAACAGACAGCTGCAACTGCACTTGCTGCAACTGCAAATTATAAAATTTTGGAACTAAACCAAATAACTAATACTACAATCACATGCAACAGTAATTACATTAACAGCGCTTACATGTTAATAGAACGAAGAGGCGAATCTCAGTAAATCTCTTGTTTTTGCTTGCTTCAAAGACGACGACACTTTTTTATTATGAAATGTTGCAAATTTTACCTGATTACAGTTGAATTATCTTGCTTTAATCTTTTAGTTCTTTTTAAAACTTATAGCAAGTTCAAACTATCATTCATGCAATCCCCACCCCAAAACACAAAAGGTAACACTGATGTAATGAACATATTTTAAGTCTTTAAACAATGACCAAAACAAAGTTGTATACCGATCAAATACAAAACTACTGTTTACATTCACTTGCACTTATCATGCAAACAAAATTCACAAAATGTATATCAACTGGAATCTTATTATTTATTACTTTTTTTAAATTATAAAACTGAGTTCTTGATACATAGTAGTTGAAAATTAAAATCATACCATAAACTCAATTTAATTAAACTCACCAAAACAAAGCCGACCGCAAGAATGAGCATAGACAATCGTCTTTGATGTTCGTGCTCATGCATCCAGGCTTTCATTTTCAGCAACCTCACTCTCAATCGCGGTTTCGACACACCCTTCATCTCCTGCAGATACAATATCAGGTTTTTTCAAGTCTTTAAAACTTCGACACAAAAAAAATGGCCGGCCTCATCCATGTTCGCGAAAAAGTATCGTATCCTTCATCCCCAGACTTCAAGCTAATATCAACGGTGTTAGCCTTCGACGCATTCTTGAAATTCTCAATCTTGTATCGCTCATTCATTTCTACCATGCTCTCTGCCCTTTCTATCCACCTCTTCACAATCTCTTCGACTACAGTTTTCGATGGCCTCAAAAAACACCCAATCCTCCAAATTAGCTCAACCTTCTCATTGCATTGCTTCAAACTCAGCAAACTGCCTCCACTCCAATTAATCTCTCAAGCGAACTCATTAAATTCTTCCTCAAGCGCCAAACTGTTGGACACAATGAACGTCGGCCACCTGCTGCTGAAGTGTCATTGCCCCACACACAGTTTAGTCATTTTCAATAACAATTGTAGCAAACAAATATTTGAAATTAAATCGACATAATTAAGCAAACCGTGACCTCTTTCACAAGTTCAATATGCATTCTGAAAAGAAAAATATGCAAGCGGGTGAAAAGATCCTGAAACATCATGGAAAAATACAATTTCACAAGCAAATGGTTATTACAATGTAACTCGGTAAGAACTGATTCATAAGCTCAACTTCAGCCAGATAGTTCAATCGAAACAAAAACATTTTTGGAGAAAATCATAAACAGACTCCTTCTGTCGCTGCAGCTGGCAGATTACCAAACAGTTATTGAAACCCTTAGTTTCAAAACACGTCTTTTAGTAATTTAATCGACTTCAAGCATGCTCTTAACTTCGAGTTGAGTTCCATCTAGTCCTCTGTATCGGAAACAAATAAAATAAATCCATATGTCACATATCAATATATTAATAGCCTTGAAAAAAGAAACAAATAACAGAAACAAATATAATTTTTTAGATTTAAACACCAGAAGCTTACTTGCAGTAGCCAGATGCTCACTAAAGCATTAAGTTTTCTTTTAATCCACTGTTTGCATAGTGTACACGTATATTTCTTCCATCCAGCAACTGAAAATTGTGAATCGGATTTGAAACTTTAACAACAATAAAAAGGGTATGTTTCACAAAACGCCGCCTAAATTTTAAAAGGGTTTGCACAAAACCCAACTTTATAGCATAGAAAAACCCAATGAATGCTCAAAAGTGTCATCAACCCCTCGAAATATTGGAAGTTCTCACAAATTGCGCTAACAGTTAGATTGAAAAGTCATAAACTACCATTTTTTACTTTTTACCCACCCCTACCTGAAAATCGCAATTTAGGAGCGATATTTAGTATATAAGGGTAAAATTGTCCAAAACTTATCACGTGCAGACTACATGAAACCTTGAAGGAAGTTTTGTGAAGAGTTTTCTAAAATTTATTAAACTGGGTAGTTTGTGCAAAACACCCACTCACCCCTACCCTCTTGCTCTCTCTCTCTCTCCTTCTTTTGGGGGGGGGGGGGTCGTGGGTTGGGTTGGAGGTGGGGTGGTTGTTATTGAGATATTATCCCTGGAAACACATCTAGACTACATTTATGTACACATACACATGACTCATAAGCATACCTGACCATCCATCTTCTGAAATGCAGTGGCAGCTTCACTTTCTGAAGAAAATTGGACAAAGCCGTAACCTTTTGATTTACCGGTCCTTCGATCACATATCACTTTAACTGGCACATGAGCAAATGTTTAATCCCTCGTGAAGCCTTTCGGTAATCAATTATTATGAAGAAGCATTGGTTCAATTGTCAGAATACCTTCCATAACTGAACCATGCTCACTGAAAGCATCTTTTAGAACAGGTTCATTTGTGTCATATGAAAGTCCTGCAAGTCAGTATACCACAACAACCCTGTAAGTGTTTTTTTAATCAGTATTCATTCAATATTGAACTTGAGATCAGCTAACTCCAATTCAAGTTACTTTGAAAATTCATGAGAAAGAGTTCTGGATGACTGGTTCTACGAACATGTAGAAATGTATGGCTCATGTAAATACTCTTTTAGACAAGGCTATGTGAGATATTAGTACGAAAATCACTAAGTATTGGAACAATTTAAAGTTACACAATTCCATCATGAGTGCATAAATGATGCTCGAAAGACTGCAGCAACAAGAATAATCATGACAGCTATTAGATCACCAATATCACTTGGAAGCAACTGGGAAAACATTTTTTTAAAATTTTTGGATGGGATCTTAGAAAACTTTTAGATGATAACGGCATACAAAAATGCATAACTATTAATCCTATGTGAAACTGAAGGTCTTCCAATTTTAACGAAGAAACTGGAGAGCCATTCTGATATCTAATCCTTTCTTTAATTGGGTTAATAGCATGTAGACCTCCTTTAGTATCGTTGTCTTGAACTTACTTATCCCAGTAGCTTCAATTTAGCAGATATATCCCTGGGTTGATTTTTATTCTTTTTATTTTAATAATTATTTACCTCACTAACTTCACCTAGAAGCAATATATGCCAAAATTTCACTGAGAGTAAAGGAGAGAAAAATCAACCCATGGGATATATCTGCTAAAATAAAACTACGGAACAAGTTCAAAACATCAATACCATAAGAGGTCTATGTGCAATTAATCCTTTTGGATTTACCGAAAGGCTATCCTTAATCCACATAAAACTAAAAATAAGAAAACAATATAGAAGCTAATAAATAGAGAGAAGCAGACTATATGTCATAAAACAGGACTAATTTTACCTCCGACAAACAATTTACTGCAAGAATCTCGTACAAATAGTCTCATAGCTGGAGAGGGCAAAGCTTGAAAAAAATTTCCAACCCTCAATCGGTGCATTCTTCTTTTCAGAGGATCAGGAATTTTGGTCACCTGAAATTTGAATTAATTGTTTAATCTACAGGACCTGCACATTAATTGCATAAATGCACAAAATTATTGTCTTGATAAGGTGCATAGAAACATAAATACATAATCAATAGATAAATCTCTCCATCAGTACTCAAATCATTCAAACAGTTTAGTTCTAGTTCAAGGTCATTGACACATTTCCACAAACAAGTGAGAGGCGTTAGAGTGCTTCTCTATAAACAGCTACACAGATGAACAAGACTGATTTTTTCAGTAATTGGTCCGTTAATTGTTGTGACTCTTCAGAGAATACACCATCCAACAAATCAACAAAGATATTTATATTTATATTTCTACACTGCATGACAACAAAAGTTACAAAATATGCACCCACCACAACAAATTAAAATTATTGAGAGGTCAAAGGGATAAGACTCGAGTGATAACAAATGCTAACCAGTTGATGAATTCCTTTCAAATCCTTGAACAAATGAAGATTGCACTGAGAAATGGCGACTGGTATCTACAGACTACAGAGGAGGCAAATGGGGAATGAAGGGTCATCACAAATTTACAATGATTTGAAAACAAACTTATTTAAAGGCTTTATTATTGATATTTAACCCCCAAAATTATCCATACTTGTAAATTGAACCCCGAATCTATATTTTGCTAATTTACCCAATCCTAATTCCTAGAGTGTTAGAGTTAAAAAACCACCAAACTTGACAACGTTAGATTTTAAACAATAAGAAGAGCCCGAGTACTTTTTATAACATAACTTTGCCATAACCCAACGTGGTAAAGTACGGAGCTAGAAATAGCAAACATCCGTATTTGGGGGTTTAATTTGCAAATATGATTAACAATTAGGGGTTTTAACGGAGCGGATACGGTTTGGATATGGCACTTACCATATCCATATCCGCTTATTATAAACGGATACGGATACAAAAACAGATTATTTTCGGTAAGAAAAACCTTAACCATATCCGCACTCATCGGAAACAGATACGGTTCGGATATTAGAGAATCGGATCTGATACGATTACGGATATGAAACGGATATTTGACAAACGGATATGAATCGGTTTTTGTACAAATGAGTTCAGCAGATATCAACATCAAACGATAAAAATATAATAAAATGATCACATATATATAATATCATCAACTGTACCTAGAAATGCTATAAAGTATCTAAGTAGTTGATATAACCAACAAAGCAAAGCATCAAAAGAACAATCTAGATATGTAATATCATCATTTCCAAAAACAACTTAATTCACATATAATCAGAATTACTTCAAACAAACACCAAGCACAAACAAATAAAGCCACATAATTAGTTCTATAGAGTTTCAATCTAACACATCAAGGCAAAATTTAACATAAAGCCACATAATTAGTTCTATAGAGTTTCAATCTAACACATCAAGGCAAAATTTAACTAGAATATGACACTTATAATCACAAATTGACAAAGCAAATGTATGTAAAACTAGAGTTTCGATTCGACCTTATGGAACAGCAATGATGATGGATCGGCGAGGATGGGCGGTGGCGGAGCGCGTCGGAGAGGATCCGAATACATTCCCCCATTGAATAATTCTTTGCTGACCCAAATTTTGGGACCAATATACGGCTGATGTGGCAAAAAATTTCTAAATTTATTATACTTTCCCTAAATCAAAGTTACAAGGCTTTTTGGGAGATCATAACCCAATTCCTCTTCTTCCTCATTACGATTCCAGCAAAACAGAGGCAAAATGAAATTGGCATACACAAGGCAAAATAATGCTTTTTTCCAGCAAAACAGAGGCAAAATAGTGCTTTTCCCCCAAGGAAACGTATTTTGGTGTCATCCTCCAGCTAATAGATAAGTCTTCAATTGGAAGATTAATGAGAGTTAATATTCAGTCCAGAGCTGAAAAATCTGTACCCTTTACTTGAATAAAATTAATTTCTGAAAGTTTTCATAGAACCAAGCAACTAGCTGTTAAGCTCCCTCCCCCTTCTTTATCAAATTCCAATGGGTTAATAAAACAAGTGCAGGTCTGACTGGACTTGAATAAACTATAAGCTACCTCCCCCCTTCTTTATGAAATTCCATTGGAATACTAATTTGTGTGCTCGCATTCATGAAATCGCCCGCACAATAAAGTAACAACAAAAATTACCAAATTAAGCGTGAACAGACAGGAGCGTGATACGGCATCGAGATGACAAGAGAGCACGAGGATGATGGTGATGCGGCCTCGATCTTAGGATGATATGTGAGGTTCTGAAACCTCGATCGATTCTTTTGGTGTTGTCTCTGGCCATGATGAGCCTGAAACGATTTTAAGAAGAGTTGCAAGAGAGTCAGAGATTGAGAGTTGAGGAGAAGATTGAGAGTTGATGAGAAAAGTTCTAATTTCATTCATAATCCCTTCACTGACTTTACAATTTCTTATTTATACAATTCAACTCTGAAGAAAAGAAACGTGCACAATTAGTAAATGCGCACAACAGTTTTTTTAACAGAAAAACTGTTTGTAACTAAAACTGACGCATTTATTACAAGAACCCATGTACTTTAAAGTTTTGCATAATCGCCCCCTCCAACTTGCGTATCAGTTCATCTCTTTGCGTATCAGTCCCAGCTTCATAGTCTCAGGCTCTTGGCTTAGTTGACAGGTTTCCAAACTGATGATTGGTTCCTGACAAATTCCTCCCCCTTAAATTGGACCTTGTCTCAAGGTCAATTGTAGGAAACCGTTTAACCAAATCCTATTAAGATTCATAAGCACCTTGCCGACAGCCTTAGCAGAACATGCTATTCCCAGCAAGCGTGATGCAGATTCATGAGTATCAGAGTCAATATGCCCAAGTAAAACTTTTAACCATGATATACGCTCTGCAAAGCGTGCCATGTTTTTGAGAATTGCAATGTAGACCTCAGTTGACGGGCATTCTGGAAAAATGACAGTTTCAAATTCCTCAACTTCCAATCCAACGATGCTATCAATATCCTTTACTGACATGATTATAACCTTCTCCCGATTTGTCATATGTAGACCATCAGTTAGCGGCTCAGTTGATGAGTCATAACCTTCGGCTTTAAGCTTAGATGCCAAAAGCTGCACATTGCTAGCACTGCCAGCTACAAGCAAAACCTTAAGATGCTGAGGGTGGTTTTGGCCAACAAACGATTGACTAAAAATTTGTGAGACCTTCGACATCTTTTCATCTTCTGACGAACAAATATGTAAATGTTGTGATACAAATGCGCTTTTACAAACTGCAGAGTCATCAAGGGACAATCTACAAACTGGTTCATTCAGGAGCTGCTGCAATAGTGATTTCGAAGTTCCTTTGCAGAAGTCACTGAAAACTACCATCTGAGGTTCTCCAGATATACTCTCCTTGATTAATTTCACCTTATCAGAAAATCCAAATTGTCACGCCCCGCTTCCCTAAATGCCGGGGAATCGGGACGTGAACAAGCCCACGACATATTAGATTGAGAAAAAATATACACTATCATTTTTTTTTCTTCTCAATCCAATACGCTAAGCATCTGGAAATAAATACAATGCCTGAAATAAATACAATGCAAAGGCACAGGTCCCCGATCACAATCAGCAAGAATATAATAGACAAACTCAGAATAAAAATATCATATTACAAATAGGATAACATCCGGGATATAATATTCGGGTCAACATGCCCTTATACAAAACTGAACCAATGAATACTGAAGAGATACAAAATACATCGATCAATAGAAAAAAAAGAACTATAAAGGTAAACTGGAACCATCAAGGAATAGGCTTCGACTCCTTCTGCTCCGTCTACAAGACACTCCTGTTGAGTATCCTCGGCTCTGACGCATCTCCAAGCTGAACCTGCTATTCCTCTAAGTCTGACGTACACCAGAGAAAACAGGTGTACGTCAGCGTGCATGGTACACGGCAAGACCCCACAAAAGAAAATAGAACGAACGAAAACCCAAGCGGAAAACGATACAATAACAGAAACAATAAAAGAACGTACAACTAAAATACACAAATCAACATAAAAACACTACTAAATCATGATAACATAAAGCATCCAAAATCGATCGGGTAACGAGGTCATGCAGCTAGCGATCAGTCTAATCATCCAAGTAACAGGGGCATACAATAGATGGAATTAATACCTAAAAATCTACAACAAGAGACGTAGTACGTCGAGCGAAATAATCCAAACAAGGAAATCCTTATGTATATACCATATGTCTCAAATTGTAGATAATTAAATATTAACCCCGTTCTATGTATGAAAAGAAACACAATTGTCCTGCATCTCACAAGAAATCATACCTAGCCAAGAAACGAGGTCATGTAACTAGTCATTCTATAACAGGTCACCGGTCACATATCACACATAATCAACGCTCCTGTCATCGAATACTGACTGTTCACAAATCCCCTACGTGCATCCAATCCCGCTACACATGCGGCTAGAGGACTACACGTAAACCGTTTTCTGCCTGGTCCGAACTCAAGCACAACTCGGGTGACGAAACGATTTCACTGACTAAAGTGATGTATACACTTTACTTTAGCCCTACAAACCAACCCCAGTGGCGACACCAACTACTGACGCGAGCCTGGAAGATACATCAACAGCCTTATCCGATCACATGAATATTAACTTCCCCATCTCAACTCTTCTCGTTTTTCTTAATCAACCATAATCCTCATTGAAACTCGGGTTCACCACCTAAACTCGGTCAACGCACACACACGTGTCACTAAGTCTGTTCATGACGCACGAGGCAACTAAGACATGAACTACTAAGGGTTCTCAAACACAACATGGACAATACATAGCATACCACGTAATTAAAATAAGAATCATGGAATCGACGATTGTTTTGCACATCACACGTTCATAAACTAAATTAATTCAAAATAGATGATTCTTTCGCAAAATAAATTCTTTTAAATAAAAAAAAAGATTCTTTTTCCAAAATAACTTCTTATAATTTATCATAATTCTTCCTCAAATGATTCAGTTCTCAAATAAATTCTTTTTAATTAATATAATTATTCAAAAAATGATTCCACTGCCGAAATAAATTCTTTTAATTCATAATAATTATTCTAAATAATCTTTTCTCAAAATAGTTTAACCATTCAAATAAATTTTTTTTCAAAATAAATTATTTTAAATTATCTATTTAATAATTATTCAAAACCAACTCTTTTTCCAAATAATCTCTTTGCTCATAATAATAATCTAAAACATCGCAAAATAATCACTTTTACACAAAATAATTATTCCTTTAAATTACTTATCATAATATCATTATTAATATTAATCATCCACAAGCCCACACAAATAATATCAATATTAATATGGTAACATAATCAAATCATAGTCAGATCGAAGCATGTAATTAATTCATATTATATCTAAAAAAATGAAACGACGAGTCAAAGAGAAAGGGATCTTGCCTCGGCGTCGAACGGATCGACGTTGACGCGCGAGTCTGCGGGTCTGATCTGAGCGCGAGTCTGAAGAGCGTCGGTCGAGCTGTTAAGGGCTGCTGTCAGCGGGAGAGTCGTTGGCAGCGCGTCGACGGCGAGGAACAGCGGCGAGCTCGCGGCAGCGATGAGGTGGGCGCTGGTTCAGGTGGCAGTTGTGGTGGT